CAGCTGTCGAGAGCTGCCCGGCGGAAAGGGCCCTGGGCGAGCTGGTCGACAGCCGGCAGAACGTGAGCCGGCAGTGTGCCCGGCTAGCCGGGGGGGCCAACAGCACCCTGGCCTGGATCAGCAATAGCGTGGCCAGCAGGAGTAGGAAGGTGATCGTGCCCCTGTACTCGGCACTGGTGAGGCCGCACCTCGAACGCTGTGTGCAGTTTTGGGCCCCTCACTGCAAGAAGGACACTGAAGTGCTGGAGCGTGTCCAGAGAAGGACAACGAAGCTGGTGAAGGATCTGGAGAACAGGTCCTATGAGGAGCAGCTGAGGGAACGGGGGTTGTTTAGCCTGGAGAAAAGGAGGATGAGGGGACACCTTATTGTTCTCTACAGCTACCTGAAAGGACGTTGTGTCTCTTCTCCCAAGTAGCAAGTGATGGGATGAGAAGAAATGGCCTCAAGTTGCGCCAGGGGAGGTTTAGATTGGACATTAGGAAAAATTTCTTTACTGAAAGAGTGGTCAAACATTGGAACAGGCTGCCCAGGGAAGTGGTGGAATAACGATCCCTGGAGGCGTTCAAAAAGGTGTAGGTATGGCAGTTTGGGACATGGTTCAGTGGGCATGGTGGTGTTAGGTCAGTGCTTGGACTTGATGATCTCAGAGGTCTTTTCCAACCTTAATGATTCTAACTGCAGTCATTATACATGCAACTTAAAAATTTGTGAACCATTAGAAATGCTTGTCCCTGATTATTTCTATGGGATCCCTGGAGGCGTTCAAAAAGGTGTAGGTATGGCAGTTTGGGACATGGTTCAGTGGGCATGGTGGTGTTAGGTCAGTGCTTGGACTTGATGATCTCAGAGGTCTTTTCCAACCTTAATGATTCTAACTGCAGTCATTATACATGCAACTTAAAAATTTGTGAACCATTAGAAATGCTTGTCCCTGATTATTTCTATGGGCTAGGAACTCCTAAAGCCACAACTGAGCTGAAGGGGGAAAGCGTCCTCACCAGGGAAAAGGCTGTCAGTCATTTCCAAGGTTGACAGCACGCACAGATATCCCCATCTGACATGGAAATGCAATCACCAGTTCCCCCATGGAAATGGAAAAGTGATGACCACAGAATAGCAATCAGATATGGGGAGAGTACCTAATCCTTGCATTAGCATTTATCACGAGCAACTAATATTGAGAGCAAGACACAATGTAGTTCATACACAATGACATGCTACAGTTCAAACTAGTGGTACAAGAGAATACTGTGCCAGTTCTTGAAACAAAACCTTTCAAATCACTTTCACGGAATCAGCGACTACTTCAGCACAGAATTTATCCAAATACAGTGTTCTTTTTATTTTATTGCATATTAATATATCAAACTATTTAGAACTGGCATGAAGGCCACAAAAATTACTATTGAAATCTTTTACAATTTTTTTTTTTTTTTTTAAATATGCCATCTTAAGAGAGTAATTCCAGCCTGAGATTCACCAGAAGGGTCAAAGTTACCTACCCTATGATGTCTGTTCTTTATACACGATGTGGAATGGAGTGAGGGGACAGCAAATGAGGACCTAACACAAAGAAAAGGCAGCAGCAGTGAATCAGCAATAGGTTGCTATAAACGTTTTTTGTATCTCCACGGAAATGATCTACAAAAAAAAACCAACAGCCTGGTTCCAGCACTCTGAAAACATCATGTTAGTACACTTCAAATCACTACTTGATAAGAAACAGTAGAAAGACAAGAAGCATTAAAGCATCCTACACATTTTGAGCATCCTCAGAAGACCATCTGTTTTAATTTCCAGAAATATTTAATGGCTACCTAGCCCACAAAATTCAACGAAATCCTTTTTAGTTGCAATATAAATTTAAAATCCAATATCAAGGTACTTTTATTATATGAACATTTTATTATCTAAGTTTTACAGCCAACTAGAATGCATAGATCTGGTTTAGTATTAAAGTAAACAGGGCAACTCATGTCCGTTACTTTATTTCTCTTCTCTATTGCCTGCATTTTCTGTTGGTTCAATAAAAAAACATCATTCTGTTTTCTTCTAAAGTATCAAGGAAAATTGAATGTTATCTTTTTATTAGTGCTCTAGGAAGAGCTTGTTCTTGGGCAAAATCATCTCTGACGTCAGTGAAATATCATTTAGCCTTTAGACTACGTGCTGAAAAAAAGGGGTCAAAGGGGGTAAGAAAAACAAAAAGGAAAGACTTTAAAATGCACACATGAAAGGGGACTGCAAAATGACAGATTAAAGTACATCCAACATCTGTTACAGTATCGTCTAAACAGATTGCTTCACTTCTCCTTTTGATCAGTCATGATCATTTATGCTTCCGTTAGCTTTTATATTCTGTTCTTGGTACTTGTGAAGCTGCTCCATAAAGCCAGGATTTGGACAAGCCGCAGGCCTTGCATTTTTCACCAAGGAAAAGGCTCTAGCAAAATTCAGTCTTTCTGAATTCATTAGAAATCCAATGACTACTGCTGCTGCACGGGAGACTCCTGCATTACAGTGGACTAGTACCACTCCATCCTTCAAGACACAAATGAAACATAAGTTGAGATATTCATTAAGTAGATAGCAACAAATAATAGAAACTTTATATCAAAACCTGTTAAGACTTATTAAAAGCTCCTTGCTGAGCTCAAAGCAAATATTTACACACATAAGTAACTCCAAACATAGATATATAAGCCCCAAATTAAATACTTTTCTAACCAAAGTCACTTTATAATTATCAAATCCTTCAAACCTAATTCATACCTTAGAACTAAGAAAAAAACCAACAAAAACGTTCCCCTGTCCGTTTGCCCAAGACCTTGCAGCAGCCCCCTCGCGTAAAAACCAAATCACAGGCATCCGGGATACTAAGATGTCAGATCTAATTGGGTGCCAATTTTAAAACAGATTTTATGTGCAATATGGAGAGGAACTTGACTATATCTTGTTACCAGGTTAAAAACATAGCAAGGCAGCAAACAGCTAAGCACAGAGGCAGATTTTAGAACAACTTGTAGTTTCAGTTGCACGCTTCTTGTGTACTCTGGAGTTCTTCAGAGAAGATTCTGGGTAAGCAGGATCATGCATAGGAACAGAAAAATCAGAAAAGATACCATGTGATTTGCAACAAATCTCTACCTCCCCATCACACTGCTGGTACGACTGTAGCAGCTGGTACAGCTGATACAACTGAGGTCCCTTAACTGGGGACTAAAGTGCAAAATCCAACACGAGTGAACCTCCCATGAATTCACAAGTGTTTCTCCTGGGGTCTATACTCAGGTTTATCCTGAAGTATCTATAAAATTAATGTTTTTATCCTACTTAAACATTTCTTACACAATCTTCGAGACACCTGAATGACTCTAAGATGACACTGCAAGTTTCATTAGGAAATAACAGCTGTGAGTTAACACAAAGACAACTACACAATCTAGTGTGGCTTGGGCAACGTTTGTGAGGTCCAGGCTTTGTGATGTTGTCATGTTTGTACATCAGACTATGACCTGGAAAAGGGTCAGTCCGAACTGTCTGCCAGGTGCCACTTTCACACACAAAACACCCTAGCATCTCCATATTTTGAATGAAGATACTGAAACACGACACAACGTGCTCAGACACTTGAGGCTAAACAAACATATTTTAGACAGAAACAGCCTGCTCTGTCTGCTCCTAACAAGCACAAATTATTCAACGGTTATTTCACCCAGAGGAAAAAAGACCTTATAACCACCAGGGTTCCTTTCACAGAACTTGATGGCTTATGTTACAGACCTGGGGGTTGCAATTATCTGGTGTATTAATAAACACAAAGAGCAGAAAATGATTCCTGCTCCAGAAATCTTCCAGTTTAAACAATACAACAAAGTATGAAACTGAGTGATGTTATCGTTGTTGAAGAAATGCCAAGCTGAGACTCAAAGAATGACTTGCTCAAGTTAACACAACAAGATTATGGCAGAGCTAGGAACTGAATCTAAGCTCCTGCATCCCAGCACAACGAATTACAGTATCACCCTCTTTTGCAATGGAAATCACATCCCTTTTGCATTGCCTACTGGAAATTGTAGCCTGCATTCCCTTTCTCGCATTCCCAGGGACATGCTTCCTGATCACACGGACTATGGCAGAGTGGAAAGCAGACCTGTGCATGTATTTCAGCTACCTGAGGAAGTGCCAGTGGTGACCTGTAAATCCACTATCTCCTTTACAATAACGACACTAAAATTATGGCATTAAAAATTATACCACTGCTAATGAAGCAATCGTTGAAGTTTATGCACTGTGTATTTGAAGTGATTTTTACCGATTTAAGGAGTTATTTCAGACATAATGTACCATAATCAACATCAGTATCTAGCAGGGGCACTGAGGGTAAAAAATAAGCATTGAAAGTGATCCTTTTTTTTTTTTTCCTTTGTACAGTTCATACTTTATTTTCCTCTTTCACATTTCTTCTAAGTTTTTTTTGTTTTTAATGACTGTTCTGTTGTACGTTGCCAAAAATTATATCGTGATATCCACGGAACAGACCTGAAAATTACTGAACACAAATGAACATAAGCAATAACATTAAACCAAATTTAATACCGAGAACATTTATCTTTCCTTGTTAAATCACATCATTCTTTTATCATGATTTATTCTTTTCTTTTATTCATCTTTTACAAAGACAAATTTGGCATGTAATTCTTAACTAATTTTATATTAGATATGAATAGAGAATAAAAGTGAGAAACAGATTGCAGATATAAAATTAATCTCTACTAAGAACTCCTTGCTCTGATCCCGATAGCCTAACCTTCACCCACCCAGAAATGGTCCATTGTCTTGCAAGAACCTCTTAAGACTCAAGACCAAGTTGGTCTTTTAAAATTTTTATACAGAGGGAAGCAAAATCACCTTCCACCAAGAGAAAAGGTGATTATACAGTGGTTATGCACAGTGGACAAAAAGCCTCACTGAGGAAAGAAACGAAACAGAAGCATAAAGCTTTTGGTGAAGAGCCATAGGCTAATGTAGTTCCTCAGGGATCCACTTTACTTTGCAGTGGTGCCAGGGCTTTTTCTTTAGGAGGGACAGCGGGAGCAATACGGAGAGGTGTTCATAAATGAGCTAAGAGTTCTTCCTTGGAAAGACAAGACTTTAGAGGTTTTATAATTAGATATTAAACAGAAAGATTAAAAAAAATCCCTCATTCATAGCATTATGACATGGGTCACCTCACGTGTCATGGAAATTCTGCCTGCCAATTTGGAGCCTAGAAGAGAAGGTGAGCTCTGATCAGTATCAGAATTTGTACCACAGCGTCTACAGACTTGAGCAGTTACAGTTTTAGAAAAGTCAGTCCTGGTGCAAGTACCAGCTGGCTGCAACTTACTCAACAGTGCAGGCTTTACTTGCATTTTCAAATTCAGGTGCTCTCATACTCTTCATTAAGTTAACCATGTTCTAGTAACAATTTCTCACTCATCACACTCACCAGTGAACATCTCTTACTCTCCCACCTTAGGAAATGAAACAGTAGTATCTCTTTGTGATTACTTAAACAGAAGAGCACTTAATGATACAATTTATCATAAGCTCTTTTAACATTATTTTGACAAAGCAAATAAAGTGATTCAAACCATCCAGAGACCTGTCTCCACACATTGCTACCACATGCCTCGTGAACTGATCCTGGAGAACCTCTATTCCATCAATTACCTGCTCTTTCACCCAACTCTCCCATTAGAAGAGTATCAATATTGCTTAAAAGTTTTCATGAAAACTCCTTAGCTTACAAAACAGCAACTGGAACGTAAACACCAGAGGCAGAAAGCAACACTGCAGCAATGAATGGCAAGTCTTATTTAGAAATGAAGTGGAAACCGTAACTAGAAACCTTGAAAAGGTCATTAAGCGACAATGCGTATCACATAGCTTGTAAATGATAAATGAGAGAAGGAAAGAACATTGTGTGACACAAAGAAAGCCGGGACAAGATTATCTTCTTTTATCCTAACCTACGTAAATAAAGACTATGGTTGATATGGTAGAATCACATCCAATAAGGTTTGGTTGTCAAGTCATAGTTTTGACACCAAAGCAATAGTTGTCATAAATTACACAGCAAGCCTGAATTTAACAAATATGAGTAACGGATGGTCTTGATTACAAACAAGTCTGCCAAGCAAGCCCAGAAGGAGTCCCTTCACCCTATTTCCTATGTCATGTCTTTTTCAGGATTTTGTTAGCAGTTAAATTATGGGTTGGCTCCAAGACTACTAACACATTATCTGACAGTCTTGGTACATAATCGTGTGTGCATAGCTCAATGCACTGTATCTTCAATGGACGACCAAGCAAAAGCACCGGGATGATGGACAGCTGCTGACAAACCACAAAGAGCTGTAAAAGCCCTGTTAGGCTTTCTGCTAATCCAAACCAACACCCCCGATGGATAAATTGCAGAAAGTAAAAAAGCTTCCCTCTGCCAGATGTAGTGACTTGGACTTACGATGGGATTTCTTTATGTGAAGTCAACCACTGTTCCAGTTGTATTAAAGAAGCATTTCTCTAAAATATGCAAGATTACTGTCTTCTAAAAAGACAACAATGGAGAGAATCAGGATTAATAGCAATACCATGTCTCTAGGAATGCTTACAAACTGCTTGGATTCTAAATTTAAAATTAAAAAAGGCAATGGCAAAACTACTCACTTAGTACCACACTTTCTTCTGACAAAAGATCCTGCTTTAGATTTTAAATAAAGTAATAAATAATCTAAACGGGATAACTGGTAGCATTAATTATTGATATACGTACCTGGATCTTGGCTTTCTCAATAAATTCAAAACATTCTGGGAAATAGGAAGTAATATCAGTTTCTGGGAGGTCTAGAATTGAAATAGTCTTGTATATAAAGTCATTGAGGAAGACATTTTGGACTCCATATGCCACATTTAGAACATGAGTAACCTAAGTGGAAAAAAAAAAAGGAAAAAAAAAAAGAAGACATTTTCTGAAGATAGGAAGCAAAATGAGCAGTAGCAAAAGTGGATTATTCTTTGAGCAAACACAGATTGTAACTTACACAACTGCATCGTTCAGTTTTACATACATATGCTGTCTGTGCTGTGCTTTTCTCCAAGCAGAGTTTCACTGCTGTGTGAATTTTATCACAGTATATTTTAAGCTGCCTTTTCTTTTTTTTTTTTAAAGGAAATTAAAAGATCTGTGCTCAACCAAACACAGGCTAAAGTAAGGATTTTCAACAGAAAAGGGAGTTGTGAGCATACAAATCAAAAGAGAAAGGAATTGGAACGAGGGCACAGACCACCCAACAATCCCCTAAATTTCAAGCCTGCCCTAACCCATCAGCTTAATGTTCCTTCTACTGAGTTACCAGTACCATTTACTGCAGCAGAAGGATTTCAGAGGAAACTATAGCTGCACTTGGCAGGTGAGACAACCTCTGGCCTCCTGCCACCTTTGCTCTGTTCAGGCTACGGCCAGGTTGTGGGTTACTTTAACTTAGAGTGAAGTGATATTTAGATGGCACCAGATGCCACACTGGTGCATTCCCTGTCCTGCAGAAGCACCACTGTCTGTGGGCCTTATCACCCCATTACTGTAACAGAGAAGAGTAAAACCACCAAAGTTTGGGACAGACTTAGAGCTGCTGCTTTCTTTTTCTGGTCTCATCAATCCCTATAAGGCAAGGAGGCCTGATGCTGCTCAGCGCCCAAAACGCCGAGGGCAGTGCGGGAATCCGTTCCAGAAAACGGCTCCAAAACAACCATTAGTCTTGCAGCAAAGTATTTCAGCTTCTCGTGAAGCTCAAGGATACCAGTCCATCTGCAAATGGAGCAGCCTTTTAAAAGTGCAAATATAATTTTTCTTACGAGTTACTTGCGAATATTTCAGACTTTTTAACCAAGAAAATAAACCCACTAGCAAGCGCCACCCGAGATGCATTTTTATGCCCGCGTAACGTTACCTTGTACTTTTTCAGCGTCTCCAGGTCGTGGGCAGCATCCTGCGACCCTGAAGAGAAAGCGCGCCAGTTACCACGCCGAACGCCCTCCCGGCAGGCAGCACCGCGCCTCCCGCTCTGCCGCTTCGGGACGCTCC